GCACCAGTATAAGGAGGTTGAGGAGCACCAGGCTTGGCCCTTCAGTGGAAAAGACGGTGGCTGAGGATCTAACCTTACCTCGGGAAGCAATACACTCTTTCCCCTGCTCCTGTTTCCCCACCTTGGGCCACTTCGGTGCCCTCCCTAACCTCTAGTCTGAACCCAACCTCCACCTTCCTCCTTTGCTCTGAAATGCCAAAATACAAACTTCAGTTTTTCTGGGATGGAGGATGCTGGTTTAATTACCATGTGATCATTTTGTACCACTGCCTTCCCTCGAATGTCATTCAATCTCTTTCTACACTATGAGATTCGTTTTTGGTGCTGCAGATGCCTACAGAGACCACCTGACCACACATCCTGATCCTCATTAGAGGAGCCCCTAATATGCATAGCACTTAGGGGGGTTTTTTCTATATAGGGGAATATAGTTGACTCTGGTTCCAATTTTTCCAAAGAAGCCTGAAATCTGGACTTTTTAATCTGTCAAGTCTTAAATGTTGACAACCATTAAAACAGTTTAAAAACACATTATGGGGGCAAACAAAATATCTGCAGTATTCTCCTAATCGGAAAGGATTGAGCTAAATGACTTTTAAGATCTCGTCCAGCTTTTAAAATAATTCTAATAATGATTGAGGTGATTTATGATTAATTGGCATTTGGCTTTAGGTGAAATGACCAAAGCAAATTTCTCCATGTAAAACTAGCCCAGAGGAAGCAGTTTTCCTTGAGGTACAGCCAGAAAGGGCAGCTGGTCTTCCTGTTTCTACCTACCTTTTTCTCTTGTCCCATCCACAGGATGTCATACATCTGCAACTTCTAAACATACAAGATACATGTGATTCAACATATAAAATGTGCCACACAGAGCACCTCACAGGGACCTGCTTCAGGGCAAGGTTGTATCTTGGTTTCATCGTCACAGCCCGAGGGCCTGGTGGTGCGTGGCCCATAGCGAAGGCTCAGAAACGTCTGCGGAAAGGTTAAGTCCGTAGGAATATACCACTCTACGTCCTCCCTTCCCTAAGAATAATTGTGAGGCACAAAATTCCACAGTAGATTTCTATTAAATACAGGCCATCCTGAAAAACTTTAGATCATTAGCTATAACCATCCAAGAATAATAAGTCAGATAAATATTATTCCTGCGTGTTGTGCAGTTAAGACCTCTTCCCAGCAGCCTGCTCACGTTTCTGGAGAGCGCTTGGCTACACTGTAACTCAAACCTATCTTTACCTCTCAGCAGATACATCAGCATGTGAAAGCAAAGGATGCCTGGGCCTTAAAAAAAAAAAAAAAAAAAAAGCTGACAGAGCACTGAGTTAAAAAATAAAGATAAATTAAAAGTTCTAAAAGCATATGTGGATAAGCGCTGGGTTCTCCCCATGCTCGTTTCCTTTGGGTCTGTGGGACTCCCACAGAGCTCCGGAGGCGATTGTATGAAGGGCACACTCCTCCAGACACTCAGCCAGCCCGCCCACCTTACCACTGGCAATGTAGTTTTTAAACGCTGTCTTGACCCAGTTTGGAGGCCCTGGCTAGAGGCCGGTCAGTTCCCCTTGTCCAGCAGCACATTAAGTCCACACCACAACCCTCTCCCACATTGGGCCCTCACACCCCTAGACGGGACCAACCGCTCCACAGACATCCTGTGCCCCAGAGTCAGTCCTGAGCCCACTTGCCCGCCCCGCCCACGTGCCCTTCGAAAGCACAATGCAGGCGTCCACCACAGGCCCCCTTCCCTCTGCCTCCTCACCCACCCCTGTGCTTCCCGAGTGGCCCGTGTGGGGGGCTGTGAGTGACAAAACTGCAAAGCCTTTTCCAGTCTCTCTCTCTCCATCTGCATCTGGCCTCGCCAGGCCCTACCCAAGATAACATGGTAAAACATGGCTGGACCAATAAAAAAGCAATTCATAGGCTGTTCTTCACTGCAAATGTCCAGTGGCTGCCGTCAGCTGAATGCAACTTAAAAAAAGTCCACATGAGAAATTCTTCAAAGCGACGAAAGGATGACTCAATGTATGGGCTAGGAAAAATGACAGCTTCTTTGTATAAAAACACAAGAGTCACACCCCAAGCAATCTGTCATTTACATCCCTTGGAATTTACTTTCCAGGTGGGGGCTTCAGTCAGGTACATCAAAATGTGCGATGGCTGGGCACAGCGCCCTGGTTACCCAGGTCTTCTGAGACTTAGCTGGCAGGGGGCAGGCACACAGCACCTCCATTCTGTGGAAAGCAGAACATCTTGCCGTAACGTGAATGGCAGCGAGCGCTTGCTCATTTTCCACCTGGTGAACCTTCTGGTCTCCAGTAAATGGACACTACTGGAAAGCAAAACATGAAGGCAAGGACCTGGTGGTGATAACAGAAACGTGGGGCCTCCTCACGTTTTTGGAAGAGCTGCCTGAAGCCAGGGTCTCACCTCACTGGCATTTTCTACACAGACAGAGAAGCAGCAGGTGGTTGACGGGGCTCTGCCTGGTCAAGAGTGGGTATTCTGATGCTTAAACATGCAGAAACTGCCTTTGGCATCTTTCTAGTACAGGTGAGAACACTGCAAATTAAGCCATTGCAAGCTTCATGACAAACGTTCACTAAGGTAGAGAGCGTGGATGAAGTTCCCTATGTCAACACCATTTTCATTGCCAGGAAGTCCAATTCACACCATTCACCATTGGGACCTTATGTGGCCAGCGAGTGTAACTTGTCCTATACAAGGGTTCCCTCAGTAGCTCGCAGGCCATGGGTGGGAAGGCACTCACTGCTGCTTGCTAGGAGGGGCTTTCTAAGCTTTGTTGAGTTTTCTGTTCCTAACTTCCTCTGTGTGGCTAGAACTCAAGCCCAAAGCCCACATCTGTCTTTGCTGTCTCCCCTGTGGAGTCTAGGAAGCCAAACCCTCAACTTTGCCAGTCTCCCTTGCAGCTACAGAGGGTCATGTGTTCCAGTTCTAATCCACGGGAGGTCTGGGGAAGGGGCAGATTCTGACACAATTTTTGCCTTCCTGATAAAAGGGGCTGACCACAGCTGGCAGAGCCAACCCCTTGCCCATGCTTGCATGTAGATAAATGTAGATGCTTATACCAATGATCACTCTACAGAAATGCACACATACGCTTCTAGATAATAGTCAGAAAAATAAACATGTAGATGGTTATAACATTAGTTCCATAGACATGTGTCTCTGTTGTTGGGGGTGGCATTTTTTAGTAAAGTTAAAATGATGTATGCTTTAAACATTAACAAAAAATATATTGTCCATGTGGAACCACTATTCAGAATTAGGCAATCTTAGGTATATGTCTTGCCACGTGGTTCAATATGTAGGTGTCCATATTATACCTGGAAAATAAACTAGAGGAAGTTCTCCCACCCTTATTTCTGTGCCTTCCTCTATTCTAGGTGTTGGACCAATGTGAACAGAAATACGAGGATGAGCATCCAAACCTGCACCGGTCTTTTTAGACACAGAAAGATGGCTACATTTGGCTGCAAGGCAGCAAGACAGAGTTTGTGGTTCATTTGTCTACACATACCATAACAGCTTTCATATCAATGCTTGAATTATATAAGGACAGAAGTCATAAAATTCATCAATAAAGCATCTCTACTGACAACTGGCAATTGGGGATCTACTACAAGCTCAGGGAAAGCCTCAATGGGGACAAAAGGAACTGACCCCAGCCTCACAAACACCACCGAGAACACGGCACAGCAAAAGTGGGCTGAGGCACCTTCCTCCCACATGCACAGTTGGCATTTATCAAAACGAACAAAAACAACACTGATTTGGGAAAAAAAAAACACCTTTAAATTTTTATTTTTTTTTTTAAACGAGCCCTAAGTTTTCTCTTTTTCGTTTTGTTGCAGGAGAAGGGGAAGGGGGAAGGCCGCGGAGTTCTGATGCACTGGATAACAGCACAGAACATGAGGAATCATTCTCCATGCACAACAAAACAGCCAAAATGACTGTTTCAGTTTGCCTGTCTCATTCAACTCGAACCATCGACATTTTATAGTAAATCACCTTTCATGTACTTTTCCTTCATCGAAGGGAAAAGGGGGTTTTTTCCTTGTATGAACACAGAGCGTGCCGTCTGTGAGGTCACAGGCACAGACGAGGAGGGGAGAGCAGAACCCTGACCAGTCTCGACACGCCCCAGTGCCTGGGCACAGCCGCTGCCTGCGCGCTGGGGAAGTAACTTTATAAGGTAAAGCACTCGACTTGAGCCTTAATTTTTTCCAACTGCAAAATGGAGATAATATTGAACTATATCAAATTTCTCCTTTTATAGTTCAAAACTGTCGATAGCAACAATTTCATATGATCCAACCTAATAATTCCTGCCCTGCCTATTCACAGGTTGTTTTTTTTGTATAACAGGATCAAGTAAAATTATTTATATGAAGGTGCACACGAAATCTACATCTATAAAAAGACCATTAACTTTATGAACTGGAACAGGAATCAGTGCTTCAGACTCCACACGTGCATCGCTTTATAAATGAAATTACAGACGCAGCTTTCAGAATCACTCTTTAAAACGCAAATTCTTGAACCCACTCCAGACCTACCGAATCAGAAACAGGAGGACAAGGTCGGAATGTGCACTTCTGACAAGAGCTCCAGGTGATAACTCAAGTTGGAGAAAATATTTTTTTTCCCAGAGCCATTTTTGGTTTGGGGCAGCTTTCTGCTGAGACGCAGGCGCTACCCGAGCCCATTTAGTGTGTCTCTTCCTCACCAAATACAAAAGATTATAAAGAACCCAGTAAGTAGTGTGTTCTGGTTTCTTAACTCCAGGTGAAAGTAACATTAACTCAGTCACTAACTACTAGGAATTGATAAAACCTGATAAAGATGTCTTAACCACAGGGTTTTTGTACCGCCTCATCCACCAATCCAAGTCTTTTAAAAAGCTCTCAGTATTTAAGTTCCTGGAGGTGAACCCAGACCTCCCCTGCAGCTGGGGGGCTGCGTGCTCGGTCACGACTTACCCCTCAGGATGTAGTTCTGGTGGTTCTGATCGGCCTCCGCTCCCACCTTGATCAAACACGTCAGACCTTCAGCCACCACAAACTCATGCACCAAATCCTTGTCATCCTGGCAGGGAAGAAAAAAAAAAAAAAAAGACTTCAAATACTGTCCCAGTCCATCTTCCACCCCAGCTGTTAAAACTACATGTAAGCCTTTGAAGCCAGAATGGCCCCTAAAGACTGCTCTGCTCTATTCAAATGAAGCATCTTCACCGTTGCCAGAGGAATTTTACCAGTCTTCACATCATGGTTTGCCAAGGACCAATTATTGCCTTCTGGGCAATCTAATAAAGATAAGGCAAATGAATCTCCCAACGGTCAGAAATATTTACAGTATTCTGTTTTTCATTCTTCAAAAATTACCAGGCTCCATTCCCCCACAGGTCCCAACGGGTAGGGGCCACATGAAACTGGCTGTTTTTTAACTACAGGAAACATTTGATTGCAGTGAAGGACTCAAAGCCATTCCTGTGTTCCAAAGACAGTCCTCGAGGATAGTGGTTGCAAAAACGGTCCTGCAAAGGCTCTCTGAGAACGTAAGGAAGCAGCTGCTCCAAGCTCCAGTGCCGTGCTGCTTGCAGGACAAGCAAGGAAGCAGCGCACCCCCTAGGTAGGCTTGCAGACCCCATCATAGAATGACCCCGGAAGTCTCCGGGGTCATCTAATCCGGTGGTTCTTAAAGAGAGGTCTCCAGACCTATCAACTGCAGAAACAAGCAGGAAGAGCATCACCTGGGCACTTGTTAGGCCCCGCCCCTGACCTACCGAATAGGAAGCTATACGGTGAGGCCCAGCACATGCTTAACAAGCCCTCCAGGTGATTCCCAAGTGCTCAGATGTTCTCGCTCTGACTCCTTCACATTAGCATCATCTGGGGAAGGCTTAAAAAGAAACAGGAAGCAGGACCCTACCCAGACGGATTTAATCAGAATTTCTGGGGTGGGACCGAGGCTCTTGTTACTACATTCCCCAGGAAACCCTAAAGGGCAGCCCAAGAACCACTGATCTAATGTTACCTTCTCTTTACAGATGAAGACACCAAGACTCAAGAGTAGCCAACAAACAGAAAAAAAAGTGGCCAAGATAATTTAACTACGTCCATCCAGCCCGCAAACCCAGGCACTTCTCTGTGCACCAAGTTCAGTGGAGCTCTTACGAGAGGGATTTCTCCACCACTCTTTTCCTCAATTGAGATTGATAGATTTCCTCAATTGGACAGTGCCTCATCTCAAATGGAATTAGGATACGGCTGGAACATTCATCTTCAATTATCACAACAGAGCAAAAATAAAAAACCTCAGTGATGTAAACAGTAGAAAGCTTAATGGAATAATGAAAGGTTATTATTATAGGAATAGTCAGCAACCATGGTTTATCTCCAAGAGAGAAAACTAATGTAGATGAACTGGCATAATTCTGTCCCTACATGAAATCAGCCCCTTATTTTGATTTTACGGCATTTTCCAATTACATGGACGGGGGACAAGGTACATGTGGACAGGCTCAGCGAAGGCTCCCTTTGAACCAAGAAAGCACTCCTCAGGGTCAGAGCCGGCTCCGGGGGAGGCTGGGTGAGTGATGCTTGCGCCCTGAACGTAATGAAAGACAGCTGTGTTAACTCAGACTTTAAGATAATCATGGCTTTGGAAGAAAGAGAAAATGGGACAATATCATGAGTTTTTGGAAAATTACTTTACACTCATATGTATAAAGGAAATAAAAAAATAATTCTCTCTCCATCCATATCCTTTTCCACCAGCATATGTGAAAAGTGAACATTCAGATGAGCTCATGTCTAGTCAGAAAGTTTTTCCAAGCATGTAACAAATGTTTATTACTTTAACTAAAACTAGATTCACACATGACTTCATGGTGAAAAAGTGAGAACAAGCTCTCAAGAAACCACTCAAGCTAATCACTAATATTAATATACCAGAGGATTGACTGTCTGGCAAAGGCACTTGGAAAAAACACTGGACAGGCGAGACAGTGTTTATAAAAATAATTCAGAACTTTAAAATTTATGCACGTTATGCAGATAAGGCACTTACGAAAGAGAAATTTATGGATAATAAATGTGGAGAAAATCTTCCACCATTGGCAATGTACTAGATTGTAAACATATACCCTAAAATATGTAGGCATTAATACATGATTTCTAAAATACTGGTTTCAGACTAGAATGTAATCAAAATGTTAATACACTAGCTGATTAAGTGCTGATTGCTTCATTTCAGAATTTTCTATAATATTAGTTATAGAAATTGGTCAACCTTTATTTTTTTTAATAAGTATTGCTCAAGGATTATTCAAGTCAATCTAGATGATTAATGGCTCTGTTTTTTTTAGGCCATTACAGTCTAGGCCTCCACACCTAGAAAATACAAGAGATGATGGAGATACCGATCCATGGTGTGGAAGGCGGTGATCTATGCCCCAGACAGCTCGCTGCCTGTGTAATCCAGCTAATCCCCCGTGCATTGCTGCCGTGGCTGAGGGCTGTTTTGTGCATATGTGTGTGGTCTTCCAAACAGACTATAAACTTCTTGTAACAAGCGCCTTCCTCCTTGCCTACACAGTGCCAACCAGGCTGCTCAAAAATATTTGTATAATGAATAAATAGAAATGACGGCCCTGGGAATTCAGAGAACATATACCATGGAGTGAACTTGATTGAAGGGACGTGCAACAAGAGTCTAAGCATGTTTATTTTATTAACTTTTTCAATTTAGAGAACGTCGAACATACACAAAAGACGACAGAATAGTCTAGTGAACCCCAGGTGCCAATCAGCTGATATGAATCCCGTTCCATGTATCTTACCACCTTCTCCCCAGCCATATTAATCTGAAGCAAATCCCAGTCATCACATCATTTAATCCATAAATATTCCAATATGTACTAACAATAAAAAATTAATACTTGGCCAGGCACAGTGGCTCACGCCTGTAACCCTAGCACTCCAGGAGGCTGAGGCGGGAGGATTACTTAAGGTCAGGAGTTTGAGACCAGCCTAAGCAAGAGTGAGACCCTTTCTCTACTAAAAATAGAAAAAATTAGCCAGGGAACTAAAAATAGAAACAAAAAATTAGCTGGGTGTCATGGTGAGCACCTGTAGTCCCAGCTACTCAGGAGGTTGAGGCAGGAGGATCGCTTGAGCCCAGGAGTTTGAGGTTGCTGTGAGCTAGGCTGACAATACAGCACTCTAGCCCAGGCAACAGAGCAAGACTGTCTCAAATAATAATACTTTTTAAATATTACCAAATGTCCAGTCAGTGACCAAATTTCCAATTGTTTCATAAATACTGTTTTTCATAGTTTGTATTAGGATCCAAATAAGAGCCATTCATGACAATAAGTTGCTATAACTCAAACATCTTTTAATTCATAGGTTTTCTCTATTTTTTTTTTCCCTTGAAATCTGTATGTTGAAGAAACGAGGTCATTTGTCCTGAAGAGTAGCCCACAGTCTGGATTTTGTTGGTTACATCCCTGTGGTGCTGTGTGCCTGTGCCTCTGTCCTAGATCTCTTATAAATTGGTCACTGCATATAGACCCATGACCAGATCCAGGGTTGATTTTGTTGCCGTGACTACATCCTCAGTGGTAGTTTGTATGTCCACAGGGAGGCATGTGATACCAGGCTGTATCTCATTTCCATCAGGTCAGCAGCTCCTGGTGCTCAGCACATAGAGCCATCAATTCATTAGGGGCTGCAAAGTGGTAATATTCTAATGCTATTACTCCTTTTTCATTTACTAGTTAGAATATCCCTACAGATAAGACCTCCTCTCAACTACTGTTTGATTATCCTAAAGTTCATATATGAAAAGGCAAAATAAATGTAAGATTCTAAAACTTAATCATTTTCAAAATAGTGAGCTGGATACTAGCATTTTCCCATAATGAGCTAGTTAACTAGCATCTTTTGCCTATTCTTTTTGCCAATCCCTTGTATTAACATTTTTTAGTAGCATTATAAACTCATCAATTCAAACTTACATGTTTCAATCAATGGCAATTATCACCCTTATTGATGCTAACTGTCCCATCACTGGCCAGCCAGTTGTGGGAAACTTCAATTTGCTTCTTTTGGCAATAATCCTAGTAGTATTTGATAGCTTTCTTGCTCTCTGTATAAGATGTTCCAAGTTTATCACATTTCCTACTCCAGACTTGAAATCAGCCACTTCTCCAAGGAGCTCTGGTCCTTTTGGTGTTTTAGACCATAGTTCTCATTGCTGGCAGTGCTTTTTGCTGACTAAATGATTATCACTTCTAGTTCTTTTCAATAAACAAACTAAAAATATGCTTATTTTCTTGTTTGTTTAGGATAATATATGCCATGGGTTCATTATGATACTTCCAATTAAATTCAGGAATATAGAATTTTTTAACTCAAGAATCCTAATTTTTAAGATTTCTAAGAGTGACAGAATTACAATCTCTCCCCCCCTCATAGACATACACACACACACACACACACACACACACACACACACACACAGTCACAGAATATTAATACCAACACTAGCACCACAAATACAATTATTGTAAACAGTTTTGCTGTTGTTGGGGACTTTGGTGGCTCTGTTTGTTCTAAGGGTATATCCTACCAAACGAGCACAAATTACAGTGTTTTAAAGCCAGTTGGAATAACTCCTATCTGTGTCGTTCTGCCACCAACTGGATACTCAATCAGATGTGAAAGAAGTCAAAGCCAAATGATGGAGACAGGAGGCAGGTTGAGGGACTAAATGAGGTGGGATGAGGTGCACCATGGATGTGGCCCTCTTAGGCACAGAGGCCAGGCTAGCGGCAATCGGGGATCTGAGCTCCAGAGGAGACAAAATGGAAGGTGAAGAAGTTGTGTTTTGTTCAGCTAAGTAAGAGAAAGACATGGATGGATACACTGGAAGTGGAGCTTTCAGACAATTACTACAGCATTTACTAAGAGACAAGAAAGACTGAGGACAGAGACATCTGCGAGAAGACAACTTAATGCCCCCGGTCTATTCACTTATTGAGGTGGTACCAGACACTAAGCTAGGCACCAAAGACCAGGCGCTGAAATCCAGTGGGCGCACAGACTTCTAGACTAGACAGGTGTCGTGTCCTGCAGCACCTTAATTTCTATACAGGTTGAGTATCACCTATCCAGCATGCTTGGGACCAGAAGTGTTTTGGATTTCAGATTTTTTCGGATTTTGGGAACTGTGCATATGCATAATGAGATGGGACCCGAGTCTAAACATGAAATTCACTTATGGTTCATATATACCTCTTACACATAAGCTGAAGGTAATTTTATATAATATTTTTAATAATTTTGTGCATGAAACAGTCTGTGTACACTGAACCACCAGGAAGCAAAGGTGTCACTATCTCAGCCATCCATGTGGACAATCTGTGGTTGTCACCATCATTCCTGCCTCTAAATTCACATGCTACTGATAAGCAATCATTTTCTCACACTTATTCACACATAAGTACTTAACAGTAAGAAATATGACATACCATTAAGACGGTGAAAAAGTAACGTGCTCAGGATAACTAAGCTGCACAGCAGCATCACCAGAATACGTGTATCTGCTGTTAAACAACAGCAGCAGCAAACAATAGCAGGCTTTCGGTCTCGATGCTGTGATTAAAGGTTACTGTACACTGTAATTTATTTTTCTAGGTAAGAAGAAACATCAGAAGTGGTTGAGGAACCAGGAAGTGGGTCCTTTAAGGATGAGAAGGCATTCTGCTGGGTGGCTTTTTCAAATGTTTCATACAAAGTTATCTGCCTCATGAACAACAGCTTTTGTCCTAGGAGTCTCTGTTTCATTGTATAAACTGACATGATTTCTTGTTCTGTTATAAATGCATGCTGCTCCAGTCCTTCAATAAGCCCCTTACACATTTTCACCACGTTGTCTATAGGCATTTTTTCTGCAATGGAAACAACATCATCTTCATTATCACTATTACCACAATCATCTTGATTCAGAACCATTTCTGCTCTTTCATCAGTCAATGAATCAACAATTGGAGCTTCATTATTGAAGTTAAAAACTTCTGTGATGTCCACTTCTTCTGGTTTACTGAAGAACTCTGAGGGTATGGTTTGCCTATGTAAGGAGATCAGACATCCTTTTTTTCCTCACTTGACATACAAAATCCTTCAAAGTCACCACCTTGTTCATCATCGTCGCTGAACACAATCACAGGCCAGAGCCTGTTCCAGGCGTGTGCAACCGTGTCTCCAGTCACTGTGTTCCAAGTGTTGGCAACATACATGATATCCTGCATACTAAACTCGTTTTGAAAACCTCCCACATTCATGCTTCTGCTCACTGCTGCTAGCATGCTGTTCAAGAAAGTGTTTTTATTAGTTACTCTTCATTGATCTAAGGATAACCTGATCACATGGCTGAATTAATGAAGTCATATTTGGGGAAAGTACATGGCATACACATTATTTTTCATAAGAATTTCAGCTGAAGGATGAGCAGAATAGTTGTCAAGGAATAGCAAAATCTTGCAGTCTTTATTCAGTCCAGCTTCCCTGAAGTGAGCATGAACCTCTGGCACAAAATATTTGTAAAACCAATCAGAAAAGATGTCTCCGGTGATCCGTGCCTTTTTGTTAGAATAATGGACTAGTAAGAAATTCACTCCTTAAAATTCACTCAGCAAGGATGCAAGCTTTAGCTTACCGCATCAAATTTACGCTTATGCATGTTTGCTGCATTAGCACATCCTAACACAGTTGTTCTGTCCTTGGCATCCTTAATTCCCGGAGGGGCTGTCTCATCAGTTGCAGTCAGTGTCTTTCTGGAGCTATATATGTCAAAATAGTAATGTTTCATTAGCATGATGGACTTGTTCTGGCATGAGATTTTCATCAGCAGTGACCTTGGAAAACCTGTCAATGAATTTCTCCTCTGCTTTGCGATCAGCAGATGTTTTATCATCACAAATCTTTAAAAAATAATGTCTTTTCTTAAATTTTTTCAACCAGCCTATTGAATATTCAATTCAATTTTCAGTTCATGATAAATCTTTGCTTGTTTCATGACCAGAATACCATTACGCAGCATGTATTCACCACAATGCTGACAGATCCACTCTTTCAATACATGATTGAGATCTTCATTTTTAGTTTTATGCAGTGTTTTTCTATTTTTCATTAAGTTCCATTCATCCCTTTCAGCACAGAACTTCAACAGTTTATCCTCTTGTTTCTTCAGGTCACATATGGTAGGCATTCCAACACCATGCTTTTCTGCAGGATGCTTCACAGACACTGCTGTCCATTTTCTCCAACAAGCTAGCATTCTGTACTACAAATAAATGTAAATGCTTCCTCTTTTTCTTATTACTATTACCCATAGGGGAATTTACAGGCCTTTTTTTTTTTTTTTTTTTGACATTTTCAACAATATCTTTACACCAAAGAGCAGAGAATAAGCAAAAAAGCACAGTGAGTAATGCATGCAGCTCTTGGTCCCATGTGGGGCAACTGTAAGGAACCTTCTGTTGGTGTATCCGACCTGCACAGGTCCATTTTATCACCCTGCATGGCCGTGCTTGCATGGAGAAATCTGAAAAAGATATAGCCCAGCTGAAGGGGTTTGGGGTCTTTCTTCCTTGGGGACACTGAATAAACCATGTGTTGGGCACTTGCATTTTGGTTGCCACCTATCATGAGGTCAGGTGTGGAATTTCCCACTTGTGGCATCATGTGGACATTCAAAAATTTCATGTTTTGGAGCATTTTGAATTTTGGATTTTTGAATTAGGGATGCTCAGCCTGTACTAGACGTAAGCACAGGCTACTTTTAAAAATAATTGGAGGGACCCTGACTAGGATGAAGTGTCATTTTGGGAGAGGATCCCTGGCAGGAGAAAATACCAGGAGAAAAACAGAGATATGGAGAGTAGGTGTGGGGTGGCAAAACATTCTGGGATAGGAGCTATAGGTCCAGGGACAAAGGTGCAGAAGAAAGAGGGCATGCCTCGCTCTTGGTGTATAACTGCAGGAGAAACGTAGCACATAGCCAAGGACAGAGGTGGGCAGCAGGGGCCAGATCAAGAAGGACTTCAATGTTATATGGAGAAATTGAAATGTAGCCCAGAAGGCAACATGGAACCAGCAAGACAGTAACTCCCTCAGCTGTCTCTAGGGGGAAGCTAAGAATGGACAAAGTTGGGGAGGACCAAATGCAGGTGGTGCCATGGACCACTGCTGCAATTTACCAGGAGTGAGCAGGACAGGCCTGACCAAGGCAGACCTCTAAACCTCAAGGCGTTTCTGAGATTTGCAGCATGACAGAGCAAAGGTACACCAGGGACAAACTCATGGCTGTCAGAAGAAGATAAAAGGAGACTCATCTCCAGAAATGTCAACAAGGAGAAAAGACTTTGTTCTGGGAAAAAAGATGATGGCATAATTGAACAAACTGAAGGAAGAATAAGTTGAGAACATCCAAATGGGATGGATTTTTGGCCTACCTTTTTGCCGACTGTCTCTCAGACAGGTAGAATCCCACTTGGCTAGCATTATCACTGACAAAATATTTTAAGAATGCAGATAACTTGAGAACTGAGGAAAGGTAGAATATACTCTTGAATCAAAAATCATCACAGAAAGGAACAATGAACCTAGATAGTCGCAAACCTAATGCAAAGGCCATCTTCTCCCCGAGCCATCTCCTGGCCCTGCCCTCTGCAGTCTCACAAGAGTGACAGTCTTGGAGCTTGCTGCACACCTGTCCTAGCCCTCTTCACTATGCTGGTGACTTTCTCAGGGTAGTGATGGAGGGAAGGCTTAGACGGGTAAGACAGAATCCAAGAGAGAGATTTGCACAGCTGTACGAGGGGGCACATCCACAATAGTGTGGTTTGTTATAGCAAAATCCTGGAAATTAACCAAACCATCCGCCAATAGAAGAATGAACAAAACTGTGCTTTATTCACACAATGCAATCGTCAATCAGAACTAGTCACACCTACATCTATCCCACTCTAAGTAAGCCGAAGCAGGATACACACAATATCATCACATATACACATAAACACAAAAGAATATCACACATTGCTGGTGAATATCTATCATTAGGATGGAAACACGCATGTGCATGATGAATTCCAAATTCGACAAGCAGTAGAGAGGGAATCTGAGAGTGGGGTGGGGAGAGGTTGGTTGGTACTGGGCAGAAGAACACAGATCTTTAATTATATCTGTAACAGGCTTTTCTTTTTTTAAAAAAAAAAAGAAACTGGAAGTGAATATGGAAAATGTTATAATGTGATGAAATTTTCTTTACTTTTGATTATGTTTGAAATATCTGATATGATAAAAAATACACTCACCTGATAGTCTGACCTAATTTATATTATAATCTAAAGAGACATTCCCTTTTATAATAAGTTTGTGTGTATCTAATTAAATAGCAAAGTAAAAACAGGACCCAAGAGTCTTTTTATTTTTCCCCTCTTTACCTGAAATATCTGCTTCAGGGAGAAAAGGGCCCTTCTTAAATCTCGTCCACTGGAGTTGTAAAGTTTTTCTGAAATAAAGAATACAACATATAAAATTAATTAAACTGGCTCAACAGATGGTAAAAGCACAGAGTAGATATGAGTGGTAACAGAACTCCCACTGGATGGGTCACTAACATGTACCCACTTCCTTTAGGACACAGGCTTCACCTCCAACAGTATAAAGAAAGTTTCATACGCATCTGGCCTGTCACAGGTGGCAGAGAGATGGGTACGTGAGTTGTGGAGAAGGTGTCCAGATTTGCACCCTCAGCCACCACCCTCCCTCTCTCCAGATCTCTATTTCCTGCCATTTACAGACTCTATTTTCCAGAACACAGACCATTTCCACTCAATGGCCAAGTATACCCAGAAAATTAACACAGAATTCACCCTTCTACCTCACTTCTCCCTCGCTTTCCATGCCCCATCCCCATGCTTTCTGCACCTCCCTTTCCCTGGGGTCTACTGGTCACCTCGAGTGCTCTTCTGGGTCTGGGCCTCCCTGGGCAGCACGGGAGACCCCAGAGCAGCAGGGTGGCCCCACAGACTGACTTGCTCCCTGTGGCCATGAGATTGCCTCAGCTCTGCCTGGGCCTGGGTTCTCATTCATGTTCAAGGATGGGCCTGGCCCTGCCCAAGGCACGTAGAGGAGCCCTGCCTTGGAATTCTCTGGCTCAAGACTTGGACCGACCTCCACAACCCCACTGTTCAGTTGGTCACATTTCCCGTGTACTAGTGAGGTCAGGCCTCGCAAAGGAGGAGGTGAGCTTGACATATGACCCACCCTCCAGAGGTCACCATAAACCAGGAGACACAGAAGAGTAGGCCACAATTACTGGTTCGTCCGAGGGCTGGTAGTACAAGGTGCAAAAGACACACAGGAGGGAGAGAGCAGTTCTTCCGATATATGCAGAACACCAGGGAGCATGGATTCTGCTCAGCCTCCCAGCACCCGCACATGGTCCTGATCAGGTGCACAGGGTTGTACTCCTAGCACCAGATGCCAGACCTCCCCAACAGAAGTCATCCAATACAGACTAACTGAGCACCTGCTGGGCACTGCTCTAAGCACTGTGTGTATACAATAGTGAAGAATGGAATTAGTAAGAGCAAAGACTAAGTAATCAGACTGCCTGCGTTCCAAACCTGGTGTCACCACCTACTCGCTCTGTGACCTTGAACAAAACACTTTACCTCTCTAAGCCTTGGATTCTCCATCTGTCAAATGGGAATAGATATTGGATTTAGAGGAAACTTGTTTCTGTGTTAAATCAAGCATGTATATGACAGAGTGGGAAGCAAGGTCATTTAAAATATTTACATAGAATAAAATCTTTCAAAGCAATGTCATGCTGTTGGCTGACCACCTTGGGCTTCAGTTCCAGCCTGTGAAGGGTAAGAGGCAGGGCCATGCTCGCCGCTTCTGTAAGTGTCAGGGAAAGGCATGGAACACATGGACCTAGAAGAGTTTGCATAAGTCTGGTTACAAGAAGGATATGCCCTGTTCTAATATGCGATAGTTAAATATTAAAAACAGTTGATCTCATGGAGACAGAGAACAGAATAACAGTTCCCAGAGGCTGGGAAGGATGATGCAGAGGAAGAGAAAAAGTAGGGATGGTTAATAGGTAGAAAAATATAGTTAGACAGTTAGATAGAATGAACAATATTTGATAGCACAAAGTGACTATAATAAGTTAGGATATACTTTAAAATAACTAAAAGAGTAGAATTGGAATGTTCCTAACACAAAGAAATGTTAAGTGCCTGAGGTGATGGATATCACAATTACCCTGATTTGATTAATTCACATTGTATGCCTGCATCAAAACATCACGCATACCCTATAAAGTTATATAATTATTACATACTCACAATAATTAAAAATAAAATTTAAAAAACAAACAAGAAGGATATGCCCACTTTGCATCACTGCCCTCTGACAAAGACCAGAAGGGCCAGGTGAAAGTGACCTCCTGATGACATCACCGCCCCATTTAAACCCTTCAGTGGCTGCCCACCACACTCAGAATGAAATCCAAAATCTTTTGCATGGCCTGCCAAGCCCGTGGTCATGCAGCTCTAGCCCCCTCCCTTGCTGTGCTGCAGACATTGTGGTCCTCTCTCAGATTCTGGGCAGGCCAGGCTCCTCTAGGCTCACAACTTAGGCACATAGCTGGTAAGTGGCAGAGGGCAAAGTCAGGATTCTGTGGGGTTTGGGACCTGGGGGATGGTGTGTGACCCCGAGGCTTCCTTGTTGTTTGACCACTATGGAATCCACACCTCTAAACACAGTATATAGTCCACGACACTTGCTGATTATGAAGACTTTTCATTGAGAGAGGATGTATCACCTTCTTAAAAACAAGGAGCATGGAAAGCTCCTGAGGAGTTAACCATCCCTAAACTGAACATCTAATTCATCTCCGACCATAAGAAACAAGACCCTGATGATTCTCAAGCTGATGTCTGAAGTGTGTTTGTGGCCTGAAAATATATGAGTAGTAAATAGACTGAGTTTCCCACTACATCGCCCCTGGAATAGAACCCTGGGCTGTGTGGCAATCACTTCCTCCAGATCCATAGCTAACATCTAGGGATCCTCAAATCCCAGAGAAACAGACTGTTTTTTTGCCATACCACTTTTAATAAATACTAATGAAGCTATTAGATGAATGCACAGGCTATGTATACCCTGAAGAAGTGGGTCAGATTAATCTTTTCCAGGAAGAACATTGGTAGAGGACAGTCAATTCCAGGTACCTCTTTAAATAGTAATAAGAAATCCAAAGGCTTGCATTAGACTTTTTTGCATAAGTACCACCAGACAAGCAGAAATATGCCATAAGTGGACTCAAAATATCACGGTTAAAGTCTCCCCTAGTTACTAGTGACCTGTCATTGTTTCTGGTTCATCTGAATGAAGATTATGGTTAGTTGTGTTCTGACTGTTAAGGTTTTACTACTTGGTGCTATAGACAACATAATCATTTTTTAAAAATAGGCATTAAGTATTAACAGAAAAAATTAGTTGAGAACTGCTAATATTTTGTTGAGGATTTCTACATCTACACTCATGAGAAATACTGATCTACAGTTTTCTTTTCTTGCAATGGTATTGATACTGAGGCAATGCTGACTCATGAGTTGTGAGTATTTCTTCCTCTTCTACTTTCAGAATGAAATTTGTGTAGAATTGGCATATTTATCCAATTTTTTCAGTTAATATAGGGCTATTCTGATTCTTTCTTTTTGAATGAACTTTGGTTATATGTGTCTTTCAAGGAATTTACCCATTTCACTTAAGTTGTTAAACATACGGACATAAAGTTGTTTATGATATTCCCTGTCATTCTGTTATTGACCAGGACAATTTCCTTTTATACCTGATTTTGGTAATTTGTGTCTTCTAGTCCATCTTGCTTGATCAGTCTGGCTAGAGAGTTATCAATTTTTTTTAACCTTTTCAAATCAGTTACTAGTTTCTTTTTTTTTTCCTATTGCTTTTCTGATTTTTATTTTCTTCCTTCTATTTGCTTTGGGTTTAATTTGCTCTTCTTTTTCTAGTTTCTTAAGGTAGAAACTTAAATAATTGATTTTAGACCTGTATTCTTTTCTAAATATTTAATGCTATAAATTGCTCTAAGCACTATTTCAGCTGCTTCCTGCAAATTTTCGTATAGTTTTCATTTTCATTCAATTCAAAATTTTATTAATATTGAATATTTCATTCAATTCAAAAGGAAATTACTTAACCCTGTGATTTTTTTTTGATCCATGGTTTATAAGAAGTATATTATGTCTGATTTCCAAATATTTGGTGATTTTCCAGATATCTGTTACTAATTTCTAATTTAATTTCTTTATGGTCAGAACATATACTTTATAACAAATCTCTTAGGTTTATTAAGACATTTCACAGCACAGAATATGGTTTATCTTGGTGAATGTCTCACAAACATTTGAAAAGAACATGTATTCTGCTGTTATTGGGCAGCAGACCATTTCATAAATATCTACTAGGTCAAGTTGAGTGATAATGCAGTTCAGGTCTTCTATATTCTTTTTTTTTTTTTTTTTTTTTTTGAGACAGAGTCTCACTCTGTTGCCCCGGCTAAAGTGCCATAGTGTCAACCTATCTCACAGCAACCTCAAACTCCTGGGCTCAAGCGATCCTCCTGCCTCAGCCTCCCGAGTAGCTGGGACTACAGGCATGCGCCACCATGCCCGGCTGATTTTTTCTCTATATATATATTTTTAGTTGTCCAGATCATTTCTTTCTATTTTTTAGTAGAGACGGGGTCTCGCTCTTGCTCAGGCTGGTCTCGAACTCCTAACCTTGAGCGATCCACCCACCTCAGCCTCCCAGAGTGCTAGCATTACAGGTATGAGCCACCGCGCCTGGCCCCAGGTCTTCTATATTCTTATTGATTTTCCACTTGGTCTATATATTACTATGAAAAGAGTGTTGAAGTATCCAACTATTATAGTAGATTTGTATATTTATCCTTTCAGCTTTATGAGTTTTTGCTTTAGGTGCTTTGAAGTTCTGTTGTTAGATACATTCACATTTGGGATTGCCAGGGCTTCTTGGTGCACTGACATTTTATCATTATGTAATGTCTGTCTCTTCATCCCTGGCAATATTCCTTGTTTTAAAGTCTACTGATTTCTAATATGAATAAGGCCACTTTGGGTTAGTGTTTGCATAGTATATGTTTTCCATCCTTTTATTTTTAACCCATCTATGTAGAATTCCTTGTACATATAGTTGCATTTTGTTTTCTATTCAATCTGATATTTTATCTTTTAACTGGTATGCATGTACAGTATTTTTATCCTCTATAACATCATGACTTATTCCTTGGTAGCATTAGAACCAAAGACCTACTGGACTCTGATAAGAAATATCCTTCCACAAATGCCAAAAATATCTTCCAGGGTGTCCCAAAACCTTCCCATTCCCTTTCTTGCTAAGTGTCATTTAATTAAAACACATTATAATTTCTATTTGAAGAGTAATTTC